GTCGCCATCGTGCAGTGAAGAGCGAACGCCGAATCTGAAGCTCAGACAAGCAAGGACCGGCCGAATCAAGCCGTTGATGGGCACGGGGTTTGGCTTCATTGACTGCCCAGACTTAAAGGCTGCGCGCTTTGCCGCTACATTGCATTTTCCCGTGGCTTCGCCAAGCGCCTCCAGGCGGTCTTTGGGCACGACGTCTATGTGCATAAAAACCAGGCCTTCCGCTCTTGCAGCCAAGCGGGAAAGGCCGAAAGGCGCGAAGTTCACGGAGCGGCATGGCAGGTGGGTACGCTTCCACCGGGCACGGAGGTGAACTTCGCCATCCTGCTGAGCAAGGCACCCGACGCTTCTTGGGAGCCCTAGTTGACGTCTTGCTTCCAGGCCTGCTGGTTTAGGATCCATACCTGCAGGACATGAAGCCGCAAGCCTTCGACCTGCAACCCACAGGCCTCGCCGAAATGACACGGCAGTGGGGTTTTCGATCACCGCTGCACGACTTTAGCAAAGAATCTGGGCTCCGTCCCTGCTGGAACATATGCGTGGCCTTCGTAGCATGCTGTGGCATGTACGTAGAATCTTAGAAGCTCTGCTGTTGGCAAAGTGCCGGGTAACCTGCCGAACGACAGTCGAGAGCATCTCAGGCTTAGCTGGGCAGAGGTACGTGCAATGTGCAGAAAGCTTGGAGTCTCTCCCCATGGACTCTTCGCATCCATAGCCTGTGGGCAATGGCCGGGCCTGGCGAGTTCGCTGTGGTGGCAGACGGCTACTGGTGCGCCACTTTAGGCCTTAACCGTGCAAACAAAACCGGTACAAGCCTCGTCGAGAGTCGCGGTTGACATGTTGTGAAGCAACGGCACAGGACCGCTCTTGCTGCTGAAGCCTCCACAGCTGACTCCGTTGCTGCGGCCGATTCCGCATGTGGCAGTACGCCCTCTAGGCCGCTGTCAGTTGCCTGCCGAAGAGCTTCCCGGTTGACCGCGCAGCCTCAGCAGCTTCCAGCAGGCTTCGCGACAACACTGTGGGGCACGCTGCTTCTGAACGAGCGCGTCAAGGCGAGTTGAGACGACCACACATCCTAAAGTCGAACGGCACAGCCGGGAGCTGGCAGGATCAAGTGGGTCATCGCAAAGCAGTGGTGTTGGTGTGCGGGGCGAACACGCTGGCTTCAGCCGCGCTGGCAGTGTCTTGCTTTGCAACAGCCCTGACGCACAGTGTTCAGGCACATGGTATGGAGAGCAGCTCCAGCGTGAGGACCCCTGAGCCTTCCCTCCTTGATCCCAGGCGTTGACATTCCACGCGCCCGCAAGATCTCTCTTGGGTGCCATAACGCTGCAAGTAGTGCCTTGCCAAGTGGATTGCAGCTTGATGTTCTGGGATAGGTGAGGATGCAGGCCCTGAGTTGCGCATCAAGAAGCGCAGAGCCCCACTTGCAAGCCACTGAGCCTCCTCCCGAGGCCGGCTTTGCAGCATGGCAAGGCTGTAGCTTGTGGGGGAGCAGATGATGCGCAGCTGGGCACGGAATTCAGTCAGCATTTCGAAAGACCTCAACGGAAAGATAATGCAATTAATGGAAGCTGTCAGGCAGGGACAAGCGGTTGTGCCTCTTTGTCGCTGGGATGTTAGCGGCCGTGCGCCTGAGAGCAGCGCCCCGGCCTGAGAGGGTGCAACCCGACACTGGAAAGGATTCGAGAGACGAACTTGATGGCCAGGCTTTTGCCCTCTTTGCTTCCTTCGTGTCGGCGCGGTCGGCCTGCTCGCTCGGTGCTGACACCTGCAAGAGAAGCGTCAGGCGCTTCGTACCAACTAGCTGCAAGTTGGCTGAACTGGGAGCTGACAGAGATGGTCCAGGATCCCATTCTGCCAGCTCTCTACTACTTTGATGTGGAGCCGCAGCATGGAGCGGACTGCTACCGGTACACTGACGGCGATCTGGAGTACGGCTATGAGTTCCAAATAGTTCAAAACGCGGATTGGAACCAAGTCATTCATCCCCAGCACGAACAGTCAGACTCCTTCGAGGCAGTTGGCCCCGATTCCCAAGGCCACGGTCTGAACTGGTTCGTGAGCAGCGAAGGCTTCTCTGGCTTCCGCATAGAGGTCCTCGCGAACGGCGTCGGGATCCAAGTGGCTGTCAGGTTTGAGTCCTACGAGATCTCCGAAGCTCCCGATGGCATCCTCCAGGCCAGGATCGAAGCCCTACAAGAGGCCGCGTGCCGAGGAAGCTGGCAGGCCGTGCTGTGCAGCCTGGCTGCGCTGCGAAAATGGGGGCCTCGCCCCAGCGCGGAAGTGCTGGGCTTGGGCATTACGGCCTGTGCCGCCCACGCGGGCCGGGACGTGTGGCAGCAGGCCGCGGCAAGTGTGGGTACAGAATGCTCACTTTCATAGGTCTGTGTTTTAAGGAAAAGCTATGTTTCTGGAACGGAAGTTATATAAGGTTTCTCAATTGGCAAATTCGGGAACACGGGCACTGATCAACGCACTTCAGGAATCAAGGACAGCAAACACAAAGTAAGCATTGCAGAATTCTGCTGCCCCCACCAGACGAAGTTTATCCGTGAAACCTGTTGTATGACCAGCGCCAGCCACAGGATCGATTTGCGGGATGAGGAGAATTGAAATGAATGATTTGGTTGTTTTCACATGCAGGGCGTTCTTTGAAGCCGAGCTGATCATCAGAGATGAAGCTCCCGGCATGTTATCTGTTCCTGTGCGCAAGCACTTCAACTGAGTCGGAATCCTTTCTGCGTCCGGGCGAGAATTCAGTGGTGGAAAACACATTCCACGAATTTCCAGGATGGTTCGGAACGGATTCTGGTGGCGCGAAATGATAGCTGAAGGCTATAATGCCAATTTCAAGCGTCTAAAGGAAATCTCAGAACCAACAGGGCCTCGTTTCAGAGTCTTCTGGTGATGAAACCTTCGAAGCTCCTTCCCAGGACTTTTCGGTTCGAAACCCGGATTTATCATGATTTATCGGCACCGCGCATAATTATGTAGTAGCGAAGGCACAAAAAGATGAAAGTTCTTTTTCGATGTGAGTTTAAGACGTTTCGTCTTGCAGTGCTGCATCGGAAAACCAGCAGAGTCCGAAGCCACCTGACGGCCGGATATGAAAGCGAACTTCAAGGCCTTTTGTGGCTTCAGCATGCATTGGCAGAGGCGAGAGGCGTATTCCATTCACGGGTTTGGTGCCCACAAACTGGAACGACATGTTGACAAAGAGGGTCAGTGAAGCTACAACAGCATGTTTAATTCAGTACAGTGTCTCTTTTAGTTTCCTTACCTGCTTCTTGGTTCTGAATTAATACTCATTTCAACTGATTTCCCGAAACCGATGAAACAACGCAGACGGAATTGCATACATATATCATATATATATATGGTAGTTGATCTAAAGCCCCTTGTGGCATAATTTATATAAAACGACAACTGCATGCTAAATGTGCCTTTCGCGAAAGTTTGGCGTTGGTTTTGTTAAAGTTAATTTTTTTTCTGCGAAAGTTATTTGTTAAG